GTGCATTATCAGTTTAGAAGTTGTCATTATATTTTCTTAAATTCAGCATGGTCCGGTAGAACTGTGATGGTGGGAATTTGTGCCATCCACCAGCAACAAATCTTGAGCACTTGAAATGTGGCTAGTGCAACTGAGGAACTAAATTTTTATTTATTTATTTTTAATTAAAATAACCTCATATAGCTAGCGTCTGCCATATTAAAAGTCAAGCTCTAGATCAAATATTGATGATTTTCTAGCGCACTGAGAATTGATATATTTGAAAATCCACAGTTGTAGTTTCCATTGGTAAGACTGTGAAATTACCTAGTTAATGCAGATAAATTCCCATTGCCATATAAGGAACTTAATAGTTATGTCCACATTGTTTTAATGGAGAGGAATTTGGCTATATAGCTAGTGATCAAACTCAAAACTAGTTAAAGTTCAGAGTAAACAAAAAATTCCATGGAATGTCAAGCTTTGCAATCTTTTACCTGGATTGCTGGTTCATCTCCTAACTGATCCTTTTGCATTTGCTCTTGTTCCTATCTAATTCATTTTCCATATTTTAATACTTTAACCTAAGCTATCAATTCAGAGTACAAATTTGATCATGTAACCCCACCATACTTTAACACTTCTTTGGTTCTCCACTCTCTGAGGAAAAAGATTAAAATCAACAATGTGATCTATAATGGTGGGCTTCATTTTATACTGTTTTCTCTTGCTCTCTGTACATAAGCCACATTAACTTTCAGTTCGTTAAACATTCTATTCAAATGACTCTTACTAAGATCACCCAGGATTTCCGTCCTGCTAATTCTGAAAGTTAATTTCTGTTCACATCTTTCTTTGACTTCCTAGTAACACTCAACACAGGTGACCATTCCCTCCTTGCAACCTTTCTTCTGATTTGTGCAATATTAGTTTTTCTCCTGTACTTTAATTGCTTGAGTTCTTTCTTAACCCCCCCCCCCATTCCCTACAGTCTCCCTCAGTGATCTCTTCTCATCTCATGGCTTTTAATAATATCAATGTGTTAATATAACTCTAGCCTGGTTCAGTGTCAGACTGGTGTTTTCAACTTTCTATTCAACTTGTCTATTCAGATATTTAATAAGCATCTCAAACTTAACACGTCCAGAACAGAACCTTTTTTAAAAAAAGAGACAAAAACTTTTGTGTGCAAAATTTCAGTCCTATCCAAAAGGAGAGTTGCTACCATGAATCACTATGTACCCAACCCTTAGCTTCAACAATCAATTCATGGCCACTCTTGTTTCATTTATATTCTACCACTTACCCCATTCTATCCAGATTATTTTGCAGCACACCCCAGAAACCTTATTTTTTTTCTATAAATATTTCAGTCTGTATCTCTAAAAGATGGTAATTTTAAACACAATACCAGTATCACATACAATTAACAATAATCCTAAATATCATCACATATCCTGTACGTCATAACAGAACCTTGATCTTCTCATTCTTTCCAAATCTTTTCCTCCCCCAGTCTCTCCCCAACATCAGTTAATGGCACTACCATTCATTCAGTTGCTCAGGCCTCAAAGCTAACAGTCAGTCTTGTTTTCTTTTCTCAATACCCACCACCAGTTCGTCAGCAAGTCCTATCCACTCTATTTTCAAAATATATCCAGAATCCAGCTTCTTCTCCCTAACTCTACTGCTACCTCCCAATCAAACTATCTTTATCTCTTGCCTAGACCACCGCAGCAGTCTGCTATATGGTCACCCTGTTTCCATTCTCCTTTCTATAATCCATTCTCCACATAGAGGCGAAGTTTTCTTCTTCTTCTTTTTTTTGACACAGAGCACAAGCAGGTAGAGTAGCAGGTAGAGGGAGAGGGAGAAGCAGGCCCCAGCTGTGCAAGGAGCCAGATGTGGGGCTCCATCCCAGGACTCTGGGAACACGACCCGAGCCGAAGGCAGTCGCTTAACCAACTGAGCCACCCAGGCGCCCCAGGCGAAGTTATCTTTTAAAAAAATTAATCATGTTATAGCATTCCCTTGTCTAAAACCCTGTTTCCTTTAGAACAGAATCCTTCATTGTTTCCCTGGTCTCTGTTGTCCCTCATTTTCTACTTTCTCTGACCTCATCTAACACCACTTTCTCCCATATTCACTCCCAGCCCACTTGCCTTGTTTTAGTTCTTCATATACCCCAAAGTTTGTTCTTGCCTCATCATTTTTGACTGACTTCCCCAGGTGTTCTTTCAGTTGGCTCATTTGTATCATTTAGTTCTCGGCTCAAATGCTGCATCCTCAGAGAGGCCGTTCTTGATCTCCTCATCTAAAGTGCTAGCCTCTTAGCCCTACTGTCATTCTTTATCCCATTACCTGTTTGTTTTCTTTTTCATCGTATTCAGTACGAAAATTATCTTGTTTATTGAGGTACTTGCTTATTGTCTGTCTCCCCCTATGAGAATTTTGCTCCCAGAAAGCAAGGACCTTTTCTGTTTTATTCACCACTGTAACCCTGGTGTTTAGAATGGTGCCTGACACATACTAGACATTACCAAATGTTTATTGAATGAAGAGTGAGTTAGTAAATGAATTGTGCTATATTCTAAGTGCTGCATATGTTGAAAGAAGAAAGATTGCCGAGGACTCTCAGGGAAAGCTTTATCTAAAAGATGTAACTTAAACCTCAGTCTCAGAAGTTTCAATTTAGTTAGGGGAAAAGAGATTTTTAAAGGAGGCTGCTGCTGCTGCTTCATCTTCTTCTTCTTTTTGAATAGTCAAGTTGCAGGTGCTAAAGTTGGCAAGGAAGGTCCTTGTCTGCTACTACTTCTTACTTACCTGGTTTTTGATACTAAATGGTGCTGCCACCATTTGTTTGGAATTTGCCACTCATATATACACATATATCTTCCATTGTACAAAAAACATTTAAAGTGGTGGTTCCTTAATCAAAACATAGACACTAAGCAAAAACCACTTTAAATGTTTTTTGTACAATGGAAGATATATGTGTATATATGAGTGGCAAATTCCAAACAAATGGTGGCAGCACCATTTAGTATCAAAAACCAGGTAAGTAAGAAGTAGTAGCAGACAAGGACCTTCCTTGCCAACTTTAGCACCTGCAACTTGACTATTCAAAAAGAAGAAGAAGATGAAGCAGCAGCAGCAGCCTCCTTTAAAAATCTCTTTTCCCCTAACTAAATTGAAACTTCTGAGACTGAGGTTTAAGAGAATTCCAGTTTATAGAGCATAATACTATTAACAAAAATAGAGAGATACAGAAAGAGGGGGTAAGATAGTGAAGTTGGTTTTAGACCTGACATTTGCCTGTGTTTTATTAGTCTAAATTATGAGCCTTCTATAAGCTGTTTAACTTCTAGATTGAGATCTAAAAAAGGCCACTAAATTACTAATTAAAGCTTAATAGACTGATAGGAACAGAATCTAAACTGCAGATTTAGACCGGATGGCTTAAATGGTTTTTGTAATTGGAAACACCTAAATATTCATTATTGGGGAAGTGGTCTTACAGGTTGTGATACCTCCACAGGATTCTGCCAACTATTAAAAATGTCTTCAAGGCACTTTTAGTAACAAGGGCAAAATGCTTGTGGTATAATGTCATAAAGCAGGACTTTACAGTGTTACAAAGGACCTCAGGTTTATAAAAATATTCATAGATATGTACAGAAAAAACTAAAGGTACATCTTATAATATTAATAATGGTTAACTGTGGATGATTTTTATTTGTAAGTTTTACTAATTTTCCTAAAATGACTATGTAATACTTTAATCATAATAAAAGTTTTTATTTTAACAAATGGATGAAGAAACAAATGAAGACGTTAGTTTCACTCATGGATTTCAGTCTGGCAAAGGAAAGAAATGGGTTGGTATGTTGAAGGAGGCGAGGCAGAGGATCAAGCAAAATTGCTTTTAACACACTTTAATATTGACTGTTAACTTGTTGGGGGTTTTTAATATGTATATTTCTAGCATTATATACTTCAGTTTTCCTGATGATTTTTCAGTCATTATGTTTTGCTGGGCTGGGGTGCAGAAAGGAGAATTTAAGAAACAAAAAGAAAAGAAAAGGGTATATTCCTAGAAACTGGTTCTAGAGTTTGTGTTTTCTGGAGACGGAGTGTAACTGTTGCCCAGCCTTTCTCTAGTGACAAGTGAAAAGAAGTACCCTAATCAAAATGTAGAGAGAAGGGACTATCCTGGGTAGGTATACTTACCAGAGTCTTTCTAAATCCTCTGCCCTTTTGGTATTATTTTTCTTTTGGTTGGTTTTGTGAGAGTTGGAGCCTTTTCAGGAGGAAGAGATCCTTGGGAAATGTGCATAGGGTCACTAAGAAAAGGTAAAACTAATTTGTTTGTTCTAAGAACAAGAAAGCCATGAAGAGATTTGATTCCTTCTCAAGCAGCATGCTTTGTTTTACTTTTTTTTGTTACAGAAATAATATACAATCATATTAAAAAGCTAAAAAAACAAAAAGACTAAAAGATTATAGATTAATTTCTTACAAGTGAACTACTACTGAGTTTTCTTGTATATCTTTACAGAATTTTTCTGTCTAGCACCACATTTTAGAATGACAGGCAAAGAGGGACTAGAGCAAGCAGTTATGTTGGATTGTTTGGGACAATTTGAGTAATCGAGTTCAGTAGATCCCTTTATTGGCTGTATGCTGGGGGTGGAATGAGCACACACACAGTTTGCTAAGCACTGTGTCAGCAGGTGGGGTTTAAAAGTGAATAAAACAATCTTGACCGTTGAGATGGTCACATTTGAGCCAAGAAACAGAGTTGGTGCCCATTCTTAGAATTACTATTACATAACCTACCTATTCTTGTAATAAAGATTATCCTGTGGTTGCACTAAATTTAGCATGGTTTCTCTACTTCTAACTTACAAAGTTGTAAAATATCCAAGAGCTTTATGGGTTTTTTTGTTTGTTTAAATGTTTCTTTTTTATCACTTAACTTTCCATTCAGGTTATTATTCTTTTATTTTAAACATATATAGGAATTACTCAAGGTGATGAGGACGATTGATGACAGAATAGTACATGAATTAAACACTACGGTTCCAACAGCTTCCTTTGCAGGGAAAATTGATGCAAGCCAAACCTGTAAACAACTTTATGAGTCTGTAAGTGTAATCTTTTGAGTCTTTTGTGCTTCCTTTATGCCTTTCTTTGCAGGCAAAATAAAAAACCAATTGACATATAATTAAACTGGATAAAAGTGTGACATCTTCATGTTTTCTTGCCTACATCTGAGGGTGTGTACAAGTTTGATCTGGTTGCTACAAACTAAAGAAAATGTGTGATCTTAGGCACAAGTCTATGAAGAGATCATTCTAAGGAATGAGAGCAGTTTTTTAGCCCCTTCATGGGTAGCCTTTAACTTAAGGAAACCTTACGCACCAGCGAATGAAGGGGAGAGTGAAACAGTCGAGTCAAACAGTGAAACAAGAGCAAGGGCTTTGAATGAATCAGTCCTAGGAAGCCAGACACCTGATACAACGAAGAATTAAAACCCTTCACGCTTTCTATATCTTTTTTCTTTCCTCAGTCATCAGGAAGGGGAATAGACTTGGCAGTTGGGCGAGAAGCCACAGATAAATTGTCCTTTCCTGAGGCTTTGGTTTCTCAAGTACATATTTTTTCATTGCCTCTTAAAGATTCCCTTTATTGTCTCTATAAATTCCAAAAGCAAAAGGAAATAATAATAATGTAGCTAAGTATTTTTTCATAATTTACTTACATCTTTTCATTAACTTGGAAGCTAATGTTCAAATGGCATTTGCTTCTTTAGCACAAGTAATACTTAAAACCTAAATTTTATTTCTCAGTTATGAAAAAAAAAGTCAGTTTTAGATAGCTTATTCATATCAATTAAATTCAAAGCATTAATAATTGCTGATAATTTTTATTCTGCTTTTATATGAAAGTATGTAATTTCATTGAGTGGTCAGGTAATTCTTGTGGCTTGAAAATTCCAAGGTTGTGGGCTTTAATGAGTAGAATCCAGTATTGGAAGTAGGGAGCCAGAGTCCCAAGCCCTAATTTATTTTGAGGTTGTTTGACAGTTCACGTAATTTCTTTGGGTAGCTCTGTCTGAAGAACTAGAAATTTATGATCTCACTACCCATATAATCTCTATAATCTATTCAGTTGTTTCCTTTTACAATCTTTTTATTAACTTGAAGATTTATAGTGTAGGGATTAACAACATGGATTCCATATCTAGATTAAATCCTACCTCTGCTACTTCCTAGCTGGTAACCTTGAACATGTTACATAACTTTTTGCCTCAGCTTCCTTATTTGTAAAATAATATCATAATAGTACCTAGTTCATAAGGTTGTTAGAGGCCTAACTGAGGTAATATGAGGTGCTTACTGTACTAAATGTCTTACATGTAAATGTTTGCTGCTTCTATTACTGTTGTTGTTATTATTTCTTATCCCTTTGTTGAACCAGAATAATCTTGCATACTAGAACCTTTTGTTTTGGATATTTAGGATCTTTCTGTTTTGGATATTCTTATGTATGTGTTTGGGTTTTTCTCTGTCTGTACCCTAAAGGGCTCCAGCAACATGACCATCAGAGAAAGGATGGTTTATCTAGCAGTTTTTTTGCCAGTGATCGAGCCTGCGGCAGAATGCCCATGCTAAGAAGTCCCACTGAGTTCCCTTAAATATTGTCTCAGTTAAGGGTGGAACTCTGTGAAACATCCAGGTTGCTTAAGGTTACCTTGACTTCCTTTAGCCCCAGCCCTTCCTTCTATAGCTGAGGAAGGAATGTTTGTACTCTCTAATGATAATACTTCTTCATAGCAGATGATTAGCAAAGTTATTATGAAGCACTAATTGTAGAAATTCCACATCTTAAAAGTATACTCTTAATAAAAATAATTTCAGTGAGATACTCTTATTAGAGCGTATTCCCTTGAATCTGTGAAGTTTTTCTAACTGTACATTGTTTATTGTTTATTCTCAAGATAAACATGAAGATCAGTGCTGAACCTTAAAAAGTCTATGAACTTGGAATAGTGCTTTACAAATGCAAAACTATTACTGGTGTCACAGTGATTGATATAGGGTAATTCTTAAAGGTATCTCTTTAATATAATGAATTTTTGGAATATGTGTTTAAATGATATGTTTCCCCTTGCCTCCTTTTGTCAGAAGTTCTAGGGGAAGATTTAAAACAAAGTGCCATGACAAAAACTTAGTAATTTTTATTTTGTTTTTAATGATAGTTAAACCAAGGGTCATTGTCAGGGTTCTGAAGCAAATGATGTTTGAGAAATGAGAATTTAGTATAGAGTTAATTTAGAATCAACCTTTGTTCTGTAAAGAAAAACACCAAAAAGGTATAATAATCAGGAAAACTGTTGGCATTGTTTCCCTTAAAGGCAAAAAGCATTGTTTTAAAATAATGGTTAAAAGATATAGTAGGTGAAAATTTGACTAAAAGAAGTTCTTAGAGTTTTGGTAAAGTAAAATAAAACTGGGAGGTCCTAGGTAGACCCCTGTTAGACTAGTTTTGAATCATTTTCCTGCCCCATCCCAAATGCCTTCATTTCAGAATTGCTTACCCCAAATCAAGGGAAGTATGGTTATGACAATGGTTATCGTTCAGGAATTTTCTCCTCTAACCAAAGGCCTTGCCTTTTACCTTGCCAAGTTTCTTGATGAATTTTATCTTCATTCCTTTGACAAGCACTTTGTATATAGAAACAATTCTCATGTGACCCAACTTCTGAAACATCTGAATTACTAATGAGCTAATAAGTCTGGTTTCATGCTATATTTTTCTCTGGTAGGCTTATGTCACACAGTCTTAGTAGAGTTCTCAAGCGTCCTCATTTCTTTGACATACGTGTACAGAAGTCCATGCATATTCCTCTTGCCGATGGCTCTTAATTCTGAATTTTGTTGAAGGATGGTCGTGAAAGCTAGACTAAAATAATTGATAATACAGAGTAAAAGATGATTTGCTCAGTAATTTCTGTCCACAGGGGAGTGGGTTCACAGTGGGGCTAATCTGAAGGAAGAGTACGCAGGTGAGAGTAGGAGGGTGGTCTTCAGCTAGAAGTGTATCCACAGGCAAGGGGCCAAGTTAAAGAGGGGAACAGTGGATGAAATCCCCCAACCAAGGGAGGAAACTCTGTGGTGAGAGAGACTGAATGGAAAATATTGAACATTTTAATGAAATGTACACAATTTGAATTAGATTTTAAAATGCAGATAGAAAAATGAAAATACTGTGACAGACTCCTAGTTGGTGCTAATGCGATTTCACCAATTATTGGGGGTTTAGACAAAATATCAAAGTGATTAAGTAGCATCTGACATCTGAGCAGTGTATTGAGTCAAGTTACCCTTAAATTTTAGAGGTAGAAAGGATGTTAGTGATGATTTACTCATAATCCATAATTTTGCAAAAGAGGAAACTGAAGCCTGGAAATACTAATTATTTAGCCAGTCTCACAACAGGGAGAGCTTCTTAACTCTAATGATGGTTCTTCTTACTCTATTTTGGGAAGTTTCCTACCCTCAATGGCTCCTTTCATTTTCTGGAATTATACCTGAAGGAGGAACCAAGTAACAGAAGCAGCATATTAGCCATTAAAATATAGGCCTTGGGCTGTCCTTGTGAATCCTAACTATTACAGTGAAAAAAATTAGCATGTTAGAGAAATTTACAATAGGTGGGGCTAATGTCTATTTTAATTTCCTTCTCTTCACATAGGTATGATTTATAACCAGTGCACTTTTAGTATTACTGTACTCTAGAAATGCAAAAGTTTATTTTTTTCCTGGTGCATATTAGACCAGTAATTCTTAACTTCAGAGTCCGGAGATGATCATTTAAGAGATGTGTTTCAGGTAACTTATGAAGAATGCTTGTAGAATGGTTTAGTCCTAAATGTTATATAAATATCTGTATAATGGTTAGGTTATCCCTAGTATAACTGTCACTAGCGTAGCATTAAGATATTCTCTGTTCAGAGGGAAGAAGGAATAATAGAACATGATTACTTGGAGCAAGTTAACACCTAAATTTTAGTTGAAGGTGAGTCACCTTTTTTAATTCTCCAGTAATTATAATGGCAATTACATATTATTTTAGTACTTTGTTTTTCCTCTCCCCCAGATTATTGGAGTGTCATCAGAATTTGGTTATGATCATGGGAGTCATGACCATCATACTTTGTGAATCAAGGAAGAAAATAGATGCAAATTGTTTTATTGGATTTGTTACATAAAGATGAAAGTTTAGTAAAGAATTGCCCTGCCAGATGTCCTTTCAGTCAGTTCACACAGTTGGTGGAACCAGTAGTCTGTACCTTATACACAATTTTTCTATATTAATACTTGAACTTTAAAATCTTGGAAAGGACTCTGTCTTGCATAGGTAAATATAGCATTCTTTGTTTTTTATTGTAACAAATTGCTTCTCTACATCACTTAATTTGCAATTTCTTGCACCTAGTGACAACACGGGTCTGGAGAAAACCATGAAAGGACAAAAAAAGAGAGGAAGAATAGCAGTAGTAGCCCTGGAGGTGTGTGGGGGGGTGGTGGGTGGAGGGTAGAAGAACACAACACGGGAAAACTGGGGAGAGAAATGTAGGGAGAAGGGACTGAAATGAAAAGCCGCTTGTGGGAAATGCAGGGAGAGGAGTGGGAAGTCCCAGAAGCATATTGAGGAAGAAGGCAACCTGACCACGTACTTTCCACCAGAAGTGCTTCCTTTGATCTGTTTTTAGGTGATTTAGCTGGTTCAGCAAAATCTTTGCTTCCAAAGATACAGTTTTTAAAAATAGTTTAGAAAGTATTACCTTTCTATAACCTAAAAATAGGATTTTTAAAAAAGACTAAAATGTAAAAAATTGGTGTGATTTTTCTTTTGTGCCTTTGTTCTTTTAGTTGAAGGAGGCTCATGCCAGCAGGGACAGAGTCATAAAAAATTGTATAGCTCAGACCTCATCAGTAGTAAAACACCTCCGAGAAGAGAGAGAAAAGAATTTGGATGATTTAACGTTATTAAAGCAACTTAGGAAAGAACAGACAAAGGTAAGTCAAACAAGATTTACATTTCTGAGCCAAAGATTTCCAAATTTAATAAAGGCAGGGTTTGTTTGGTTTTTTTTAAGATTTTATGAAGGCAGTTTTTAATATGAAAATTTGAGAGTAAGAAATGGTCATTACTTTTAAAAAAAAAAAAATGACCAGGAGAGTAATACTTCATTTTTAGTGGGCTTTATTTTATTACATTTAGATATTAGTTGGTAAGTTAATGTGCATTTCATGCATATATGCAGTGTAGCAGCTTTAACTTAAGCATGTAGTCATATTTTCTTTCCATTTATTTATATGTTAAAGATAAAAGGATTAGTATAGACCTACCACCACCACATCAGAAAATCTAGGGAAATCATACCTGTATCAGTGTTTAAAGGCTTGACTTGAGAATAAACTTTTTCAAATATATTTACATTTTGAGAATAGTTACCTCTGGTTTCATCTGTACAAATTTGCTGAAATGCAGTACAGATATTTCAGAATGTTACCCTCTTCAGCCATAAAAATATAGTACTATTTGAATATAACCACATACACTAGAACCTCATTATAATTTATTTCCCTACTGCAGAGAAGTTGCTATGGGTCTTTGGCTGTTCTTGGACACTTTTTTGTTTCCATTTCATCTTCCATCCCTGCAGTTTTTGCTTTTAAGAAAGAAAACAGTAAATGTCCACTGAGTGCTAGGTCGGAGGAAGGCTTATTTTCCCAAAGTCAGCTAATGTAGATAGGGTGTGGACCTCAGAGTATAATAAACGGAACAGAACTGTTTCTTTATAGCCCTTAATGGTGACATGTCAAGAAAATAGTTGAAATGTGTATGGTATTTTATTATGTGGAACGCATTGCTGTCTTCCCTTTGGGGGTGGTGCTTAAAGAGTAACTTTTTATTTTGGTATAATTTCAAACTTACAGAGAAGTTGCAAGAATAGTACAGGGAACTCACGTGTACCCTTTACCTTTGTACCCTTTACCTATATTCACCCATCGTTTACATTTTGCCCCACCTGCTTTGCAATACATTCTCTCCACTCTTCCTTCTCCCTCCTCCTTCCCACCTTTCCCTGTTTTCCTCCCCTTCCTACCACATGTAGGCATTTTTTTTTCCTGAGCCATTTGGCAAGAATGGTGGGTACATGGTTCCTTTGCCCCTTACATATGTTGGTCATTACCTAAGAAGAGGGGCTTTTTCCTACATGACCACTGAGCAATTATCAAAATCATGTCTGTGTTTTAAGATGGCACCATAGGTGACTTACTGATCCTTGCATGTCAGGTGACTGAAAATCCAGTATGGGATGGAATTGTGTTTTTCATTACTAAACAGTCATGAAGTCTGCCCTTTGTTTAGTAGATGTAGCCAAACTTTGAAAAGGGGACCTTATCATCTCTCAAGCCTTTATTCTTATAACTGCCCACGTGAGTATGCGCACTTGCTCAGTCATCCCACTGATGCAGCTTGCTGGGTATGAGATTCATCCCCTGTCTTCACTGTTCTCTTAGTTCATGATGACTGCTTCAGTCCTGTGTTCCATACCTGCCCATTCATCAGGCAGTAGTGGGTTCCTCAGACAGTGATCTTTTGCTGTAATGGTCATCTTACTCAGTGTTTAAAGTCTTATAGATAATTTATATAAAGCAGGTTAAAATCTAATTATTTTTGGATTTTGTATTTTAACAGACTTTTGAAGGTATTGACAAAGGAAACAGTGGGGCAGGGCTGTTGTATCTGAAACCTGAAACTCACTATTTGCATGTTAAGTCAAACAAAGACTAGAATGACTCTTGTTAGTGGAAAGCAAAGTTCAGAAGCCACTGAGTACTTGGGAGTGACCTATCACATAATTTGGTCCACCCTCATTTCTGCCCTTTAGCCTTTAGGGCCCAGAGAGAATCACCAGGATAACTATTGCAAGGAGTAGTTTTAGAAACCAGTTAGCGAGTTATAAAAGGTAGATTTCTAGACTGATACTGTATAGAACTAGAGGGTGACCATGAGTAGTACTTAACCAAGTAAGGAAGCTTGAATTTTTTTTTAATTTTCAAGTTTGTCGTGAAGATTATGGAATCAGAAAGAGAACTCTTAGAGATGATCCAGCTCTACCTCTTCCTTTTCTGAATGAGGAAACTGAGACTCAGAGATACTAACTGACATCCCCAAAGTCACAAGCTAGTAAGTGGTAGAGCTGGAACTTTAACCCATCTCTTCTGACTCTGGATTCAGTGTTTGTACATTAAACTGTGACTGATAGTCAAATTCTCATTACTTAAGTGAACATACTTTATTTATATGCAGAAACACCAGTCTGAAAGTCCCAGTTCTTTCCCTGAGTCCTTAACGCAGAAAAAGCACATTCCTTGCTGGAACTATATAACCGTTGTCACCTATTAGTGGCCTTTGAAAGGAAGTTTACCAGTTTAAGACCTAGAGCCTCAAAAACAACCATCTCAGAGGTGGCATTTTGTTGGTGGCATGTAGAAGTTGGTTGTAATATCTGCAGCATTCAAGAATAGAGAAAACTATTCTTGGATTATAAAGGCAGATAGCTCTAGGGAATAAATCCCATCCACCATGTGGTGGGTTTGTAAACTTATAAATTAGTTGCCCTGAAATAATCAGATTTTTAGTTTGTAAAATGGTGTCAAGACTTCTTACACTTTCATTTTTAGGGATTAGGATTAAATTATATAATGTGTGTAAGAGCTTGCATATCCCTGATACACTTAGTAGTTGCTTTTCTTTCCTTTTTGAGTCTCTGGGACTCCATGTTTGTTACATTAATCCTCCTTACAATATCTCCCAACCAGTGGTTTCTACCTTTTGTTTAACCACTACTTAAGGGGGCAGGGGAGGAGGAGTACTTCAGTCTTCTGTAACAGTGCATTTTCTTTTTGGATGGTTATAATTGTTCAGAGATTTTCTTATATATTGTGAAAATCTGCCTCCCTGTAACATGTGATTATTGCTCCTTAATCTTCCCTCTGCAGGTATATAGGATAAGTCTAAACCCATTTCTGCATGACCTCCCTTTAAATATTTGAGAGCAGTTATGAAGATTGTCCTAGTGGCATGTTGTAACCCTGTTTTGTTTTGTTTTTTTAAGATTTATTTTACTTATTTGAGAGAAAGAGCATGAGCAGGAGGGGCAGAGAGAGAGGGAAAGAGAATCCCAAGCAGACTCTGCACTGAGTGCAGAGCCCAGTGCGGGGCTTGATCTCATGCCCCTGACTTCATGACCAGAGCTGAAACCAAGAGTTGGAGGAGGCTTAACCAGCTATGCCACCCAGGCATCCCGTGACCCAGTTTTTTGACTGAGCTTGTTAATTTTTTGTCATTCAGTCCAGGCTTTGACAGATCAGTGAAGTTTTAATGATTTCTGTTCCATGTAGCTGATTATAATCTGAAACTGAGGTTGCTTTCATATAAGCAGATGGGCTTCTTCAGGCTTGTTACTACTTTAGCACAATACTGGTTGTCAGAAATGCAGTCCTTCCTCTTGTTCTAGTTTGAGTCCTTTGTACCTGTGTATACTCTGACACTATTTCTGAGTCTAGCAAGGGAGTTTACAAGGGGCCAGTGGAGTTTACAAGGGGCCAGTGGATCAGTACTAAGTTCCTGTCTTATTAGTGTTATATGTGCATTGCTTAAATGTCCTGCCTGAGCTGTGCTCCTGACTAATCAGGTTCTTTGGTCTGGGTCCCTGACTCATGGTTGCCTAGATCTTGTCTAGCTCTCTGGCATTTTGTTCCCAAGTCTCCTGGCCTGAGTCTTGACTTTGGCCTAAGGAAATCATCCTAGTTTTAACCTCTTGGCTGCTTCGACCTGTAGCTCATGCTTTTTTCTCCTAATTTTCCTGAATATTTTCAAGCCTCCTTCCTGGAACTAGCTAGCTTCTTTTCTTTTAAGTTTCTGTGACTAGGAGTATGATGGGCCCCGCCGTGTGGGCCTGGCAATGGAATTGGTTACTTTTCTGATGGTGTAACTAGGTTGGCAGTTATCAAGAAAGTTAGAAAGACTTTAGCATCTTTAACCTCAGACCTCTGGCTGTATGCTCAAGGTGAAAGATCATGCCTTTCTAGATCTTTTGGGCCTTATGTATTCCCCTTCTCTTTTCTGTTTTTCTTCCTGATTTTTTTTTCTTCATCCAAATTAGATTGCCACCTCCTTCTCCTTTTTATTCCTCTGTGCTGTCTTTGCAAATCACTATTATAGGATCAGTAACTAGAACTAGAATTCTTGAGTGCAATGACATGTGAATTTATGTTTTTATAAATCTTATCAAATTGCCCTCCATACTAAGAATGTGTATGAGTGTATATTTTTTCATACCCTTACTAGTGGTAGGTTTTATCAGACGTACCCATTTTTAAAAATTTTTGCCATATTATGGCTTAGTTTACATTTCTTTAAACATTAGTAAGATTGTACATTTAAAAAATACATTTATTGGCCATTTGTATTCCTTTTGTGAACTACCTGGACATTTTTTTTTTTTTTTAAGAACTCTCAAGGTGATTATAATATGCTTGAGAACCATGGCTTTAGAAGATTTAACAGCTGATTAGATATGGGGAGAATGGGCTGTGTCCAATATCTAGTCCAGGTGATACCATTAACAAAGAATGTTGCAGCAGGAGCTCCTTTTATTAGGAAACTATAAATAGAATTTAGTTTTAGTTCTTTAATTTGAATTTTCATAACTCTAACTTTTATTTTTTTTTCCTTTTTGCAGTTGAAATGGATGCAGTCAGAACTGAATGTTGAAGAAGTTGTAAATGACAGGAGCTGGAAGGTATAAAATAATGCTGGTTCTTGGAGAGAACTATGAAGGAACCTGGATTAGCAAGGGGAAACCAAGGGAGGGGGAGTAAGGAGTGCCTTGGGCCTTTTTAGACATCTTTCATTTATAAGCAACTGAAGGTTTTAACTTTGAGAAAGGGTGCAGTTGGCATCCAAATAGAGCCAGCTTATAAAAATCAGCTTTACAGTCATATGGTAGATTGTATGACCTGTCATGGTAACAGAACTGGAGACATTCTGTATCTTTCTTAATACTAATTATGGGCATACTTGTTATTTAGGGTTATTACTAATTAACTTAGAACCTTCAGTGGTGTTATTTGTTAAAATTAGCCTTTTTGAGCCCTATTACTTTGCATAAATTCATATCATTAGCTACCCTTTGCAGTTGCTTGCTTTCTAACATATTGATCATAGAACTTATTTGTACATAACTTTTCTGATATCTGATAATAGGGCCTTTTATGGCTCCCTGGTTCACATGTTCCTTATTACCACCTGTGTAGTTCTGAATAGGAATTAGATTGGGGGACCAGGATTCCAGGATTTTACCTGTAGTCAAAAATCATAAAATGCTGACTTTAGTTGTATGAAATGGTATATCTGTATACCCTTCTCTAAAAATTCAAAGATTTCTGAAGGGAAATAATCTATTAAATCTGAAGGAATTAACTGAAAATTCTGTTTCATCCTTTGAAATTGACCAATGGAATGAGGTTAAACACAGAGAGAGGTTAACTGAACACAAACTAGAATGTCCCAACTTGCAGAGCTATGAATAAATTGCAAAGTACAAATTGATTTTCTTTGCCGTATCACTTTTCTTTATTCTGTCCTCTTTGCCAGGGTTTCCTATTCTTGCCCTTTCTACCAACGTGAGAAGGTGTTTGCTACTTGAAAGATTCTGGTGTTACTTGTTCATTTATGTTCTCCAGAGAGATAATATTTACTCTTGGGATGGCATAGGGGAGGGGTACAATGAATATCTAGTTTGAAAAACCCAATGGAGAGGTTGATATATGTCAGATGTAGTAGGATGAGGGAAACGTTTTTATTTCTTAATTATTATTATTTTTAAAAATTATTTTTAAGTAGGCTCCGTGCCTGGTGTGAAGCCCAAAGTGGGGCTTGAATTCAAATCCCTGAGATCAAGACCTGAGCTGAAATCAAGAGTCGGCCACTTAACCGACTGGCACCCCAAGTGAAGCATTTTTATTTATTTATTTATTTTATTTTAAAGATTTTATTTATTTATTTGACAGAGAGAGACACAGTGAGAGAGGGAACATAAGCAGGGGGAGTGGGAAAGGGAGAAGCAGGCTTCCCGCTGAGCAGGGAGCACGATATGGGGCTTCATCCCAGGACCCTGGGGATCATGACCTGAGCCGAAGGCAGATGCTTACGACTGGCTACCCAGGCGCCGCTCAAGTGAAGCATTTTTAGATTCGATACTAGTTTTAAAGAAAATATGCTCCATCCAGTCTACAAAAACTTAGGTTCCCTACTTGATTTAAAAAAAGAAAATGTAGCTACGGTGCAGTAGGTCAGCAAAAGTGGTTAGGAAGGCATTTAGGAAAAGGATTTGGAGAAGTTTGGCCAAGTCATATATATCATCCCACTCAGGGTGCCAAGGCCACTAATCTGAAGCCTCCGATTTGAGCATTGGGAACTTAAGGGAAATGTCAGGGCTGGGAACTGACAAGAAATGAGCTATAAGACGAAAGGGCCAGAAAGGGTCTATATAATTTCTACATTTTTTCTTCTAATTGTGAGATAACACATATCAAAGAGTATGTAACATAGCATGTAAGGAATATTAATAAAATGAACATTCATGTATCTACCACCCAGCTTAAGAGATTGAATAATACCACTACTGTAAAAGCTCCCTATGTAGATTTTTCTTTTATTTTTTTATGATAGTCCACAGTGTCCAATATAGGTTTTTTTGTGTGTGTTTTGTTTTGTTTCTTAACCTTAAAAATAATTTGTTCCTTATGTCAATGAAGTATGAGGGTAAATTCTAAGAAGAAATTCTTTTAGATTTGTATAATTTTTTATTTGGACACTTAAAATTTTTAGGTACGATTAAATTTTTTTTAAAATATTAAACGAAATATGATAAAAATTTTTCTCATTCCTCCATTTCAGCCACCTCCTTTCCTTTCCTTCTGAAAAAATGATACATGCTTTAGATATTTGCACCTTTTCTAATTTTATGTATGTCTGTTTCCCATTTGTCACATCTATGAAAGTGTACTGTCCACCCTTTTTTTTCTTTAGTATATCTTGGAGATCTTTTCACATCAGAACACACAGAGCTTCCTTATTCTTTTATGTTTGCATTATAGTCCATTGAATGGCTATACCAAAATTTTTATTTAACACAGTCCCATATTGACAGACACTGAAAAATGTTCTTTTAACATTTATGATATATTATTTGTTTAGATTTTTAGGAAGCAAGGTAAATAGAACAAAACATTTTATAAATTTACACAATTTAGCAAAGGCCTGATCTCTCTTCAAGTATACCTACTTGTGAAAAAGATCCCATACTCAGTTAGAAAATCACAACAGATATCTAAATAAAATCTACATTATAAAAAGAGGGAAAAAAGCTTTATCTTAAATCATTTTAGATATTTTTGTCTAACTGTCTAGAATATGTAATGAAAATGTTTGTTAGTTACTAAAGCTAGCTTGTGATGATTTTTTCCTTGAATAATATAAATTTTATTAAAAAAATCAAAATTGTCTTATAAATGGATATCAAAGTCTTCTGTATTCTTAGCGCCTATAAGTCACTTTGAACTCATGAGGAAAATTTTCTGTTCCCTAAATCTGTTGACCTGGGATAAAAATGGTTATATCCTCCTGAACCATACCAAATTTAATTTAGTTCCAGGCTTGATTTATAGAAGATGACTCAGCAACTTTTGTTTCTGTTTAAATATCTTAGGTGTTTAATGAACGCTGCCGAATTCACTTCAAGCCTCCAAAGAATGAATAAAAAGATACTTTTTTTTAAATAAAGGACCGGGACATCTCATAAGAGCTAAGCATGACAGACATCAACAAGGTGGGCTTCCTAGGATGATTTCTGAGCCAACAGTCCAAGACCTTTTGTTGATTTTGGCCCCACTTAGCCAAGACCTTAAGTACAAATAATTCTGATAATTATGGAGAAATCAACTGCTATTTTATACTGATTCTGTAAAAAAAAAAAAAAAAAGAAGATGCTTTTGTAACTATTAAAATAATTTTCTGACTCAGTGTACATATTTATTTGATTGTTTTCCAAGTTGAGATAATAAGTTCTTATAAGAGAATTTGAATACAGTTTCAGTATCTGATTTGATTTGTATTATATCTTTTTTGATTTTTTACAAATTTATTGGCAAGAACGTGGGACCTTTTTTGGTCATTGATGATTTTATCCTTTTATTTATCTTTGTGGGGTTTGTTGCTCCTAATGAGTAAGATGGCAATAATTATAAGCTGCATACTGTCCAAAGAAACTTTCTCCTTGGTACCTTACCTTATCTTGTTTTCATATGCAAAAACTAATTTTGGGTGGAATTTTCCTGGACAGTATTTCCATGGGCAATGAAAACGAAAACAGTAAAATAAATTTGGGAAAGGCAGAGGAAGGCTTGTATGATAGTATTCAAATGAGTCAGTAAAAAACATATCATTGCAGAATTCGGTCATTGCAGAGAAAGCACTTTCTAGTACAGGATGATCATAATTAGTTTTCTGTTGCTGATTAACAAATTACCACAGTTTAGCAGCTTAAAATCACACCTGTGTACTGTTTTATAGTTCTGTAGGTCAGAAGTTCAAGACTGGGTTCTCTGCTTGGGGTGTCATAAGCTGAAATCAAGTCAGCCAGGCTGGGCTCTTGTCTGGTGCCTCTATAGAAAGAATGTGCTTCTCGGCTCATTTAGTTTGTTAGCCGAATTCAGATCCTTGTGGTTATAGGACTGATGTGCCCATTCCCTTGCTGTTATCAGAGGCCACTCTAAACTAGAAGCTACCCACATTTTTTGGCACATGGCCCCCTCCTTCTAGCTAGCAACAGTGTATTGAATTCTTCTCATTCTTGGTATCTGACTTCCTTTTCTGCTAAAAACCAGACAGATTTTGCTTTCAAAGGGTCTTTGTGATCAGATTAGGCCTATCATGACAGTCTTCCTTTTGATTAACTCAGAGTCAAATGATTATAGCCTTAATCTGCAAATCCCCTTTGCCAGGTAACATCACAGATGTAATGTCTCCTATTCGCAGTCTAGAGTAGGACATCTTGGAGAGCCATTTTAGGATTCTGCCTACCATGATGATTTAAACAAGCCACCTGGCTCTGGCACAGTTAGATTGACCAACTGGGTCATTGGTAGGCCTATGTTTCAGTATGTGTACCCTCATCAGATTATGCATTTAGAAGTGAGCAATAAAAGTATAAAATGTGCACTGTTCTTTCAACAGATCTTTTGAGTACTTACTGTTGGTCAGATACTGTCTTAGTTGTTGGGGATATTGATAGATAAAACCTACTTTTGTGGAGATTATAATCTAGTCTTCTTAAAAAGGAAAAATCTCTTAGGGCCAGCAGTAAAAAAGATTTTCTATAGGACTTAAAGTGAATGGTGCCTGACAGAAAGTTGATACTTTTTTTTTCTTGCATGTGTCTTTTCAATTGAAAGGACTCAATAAAAAGTAAGACTCAATAAATAAAGATCTTCCTGATGCTCAGGAGGGAATTGAGAAACAGCCCTTGGAAAGGATTCATAACAGCTTTTCCAGAATTTCAGGTCTGCTAAAATACTATCTAGCTAATCCAATTATGTTAGTAGGATGCCTGAATCATCCCAATGTAACATGAAAAATGTGCGATTGTGGCAATCAGTGACTTTTACTATAATGAATATTAGTATGTTTAGTTTGTGATGAATGGCACTTAAACCCTCAAATATGAAGAGAAAGGGATGGCATACTATTCTTAACCGAATGAGCCCCCCAGGCGTCCCGGGATGGCATACTATTCTTGAAAGTTGATTTGCCTCTTGAAACAGTGTCTTGTATACTGCTGCCTTAAACAATAATTGTTGATTTTGTTGGCTTGAAGGATAGGTAGGATTTATTTATTTTTTTAAGATTTTATTTATTTGACAGAGATAGCGAGAGCAGGAACACAAGCAGGGGGAGTGGGGGAGGGAGAAGCAGGCTTCCCGCTGAGCAGGGAGCCTGATGCGGGGCTTGATCCCAGGACCCTGGGATTATGACCTGAGCCGAAGGCAGACGCTTAAGGACTGAACCACCGAGGCGCCCTGATAGGTAGGATTTAGTCAGAAAGAGGGAGAAGAAGCTGAATGCAAAAGTTCAAAGGTGAGTTTGACTCTTCCTTGGCAGGACAGAAGATAGCCATAGAAGAAACACCAATCCTTAAATGTTTGAGTCTCTCCCATATTCTAGGCACTATTTGCCAATATTATACATCACTGAACAAAACAGATAAAAAAATACCTGCTCTTAAAGAACTTACATGTGGTGAAGAGAGATGGACAGTAGTATGGAAGTAAAACATATAGTATGCTGAAAGGTGATAAAGCTACATGCCAAAAAAAGAATCTGGAATGGGGAGTAGAGAGTGGGTGGCAAATGACTGATTTCAGCTGATTAGAGAGTATTATAATTCCCTGTCTTTGAAAAGCCGATTTAAATAGAGACAAATAATACCAAATAAATGCAGTAATAAAAAGGAAGTTTTCTAGTAAGTCATGCTCTCTCTTTTTTTTTTTTTTTAAGTAATCTCTGTACCCAACGTGGGGCTCAAACTTAAAACCCCAAGATCAAGAGCCGCATGCTCTACCAACTAAGCCAGCCAGGTACTCTGGTCATTCTCTTTTTCAAGTTTTGCTTCAAAGATAGCCAGTTTAGGAAATGGCGCGATAATGTACCCAGTGCTATACAGTAGTCTCTGCTGTGCCATGCTACCTATTTAAGACCGTCCAGGGATAACTTGTAAACTGGGAGATTAGTCCAACATGTGGTTTCCCAGCAAATCAAGAAAAATGAATATTCTGCCTGGAGTTATGTGAGCTAATCAAATGTTGGAGATTACTGAGGTTACTCATGATATCTGTGTGTACCTTTAGCCTAATAGTTAAGCCTTGATTGTTCGTTAAAAAAAACAAAACCAAAAAACACTTCTTATATGGTTGAGCATGAATGTTGAAGAATAAAGAAAATAGTCATAAAGTGATTCTTCCTGATAGGGGCAGCATTTCTAAGAGAAGCCTAATTTACCCAACAGCGTTATTTTGGAGAGGAAACACAAAATGTTAATGAGGTTTAAGCAAGATAGCTTCCAGCTTCTGAATGCAGTGGCCTGCTGAGGGTAATCGCTGTAAGAGGGAAGAGGACTTAGCCTAGGTGAATTTGTGGATTTCCTGATGCATTAAGAAAGGACAGCAAATCCACTGGCACTTAAAGATAGTTGCTGTAGATAGAATGGCTTTTCCACTCTAATTTTAAAAGCTAGCAGGCAAAATTTAACTCCGTGGGTTCTCCCCAAGGATAAGTACCAAGTTCTTAAGATGGCTTTTGAAGTCCTTTGTGTTCTGGCTCCTGTTTGCCTCCAACCTCATCACTCTCTACAATGTACTCTATTCCCCACTAGTAGGAAACTACTTCTGTTTCCAGAAAAGACCCAGTGTTACCTCTGAACTTCAGCACATGCACTCTGCCGTGGCCAACTCCTACCCATGCTTCATGTTTCAGCTATCACTTCCTTCAGCAAGCCTTTCCTGACTTCTCAGATATAAATTAGATGTCCTTATTATGTGCCTGCATGATGAACACCTCTTTCATGGTCTTTATCATACTGTTCAATTGCTGGTTTACCTCTATCCCACCAGGTTTTGAGGGCTGGCACTGTGGAGTACTCAGTGCTTGGGATAGTTAAGCCTGAGATGCTGCTAGTTTTCTACCCTATATCCATTTTCCTCTTCCTGATCAAGAGAATCCTGATTTTGTCTATAGTATCAGTGTGCCCAGCTTCCCTTGCAGCCCCAGATAGCAGTGAGGTAGTTTTTGACAATGAGCTATAAGCAGGAGACTGTTGGGGCATTTGGGGGAAACTTTGCTGATAGAGGCATTGTCCTTTCCTCTCCCTTTCTCCCTGGAGTATGATTAGGGTCACTAGGAACAAGAAGGATGAGGACTATTTGCTCACTGTGGTGATGAACACAAAGATAAAAACCATATGTTGAGGAGGGCTGAACAGAAAGACAGAGACTGGATCCTTGATGGCATTGATTGATTGTTCGTTAAAAAAAACAAAGCCAAAAACCACTTCTTATATGGTTGAGCATGAATGTTGAAGAATAAAGAAAATAGTCATAAAGTGATTCTTCCTGATAGGGGCAGCGTTTCTAGGAGAAGCCTAATTTACCCAACAGCATTATTTTGGAGAGGAAACACAAAATGTTAATGAGGTTTAAGCAAAGATAGCTTCCAGCTTCTGAATGCATCCCAGCCCCGGGCTGTCTGTCTCCAAATTAAGTGAGGGCAGGGATTTTTAATTTATTCATTGAGGGATGTAATAGGAGTGGTTCACTTATTTGGTTAAGCCTCTATGTTTAGGATTCTGTTACATGGAGCCAAATGATATGTTCAATGAACGAACAGTATACTACTACTAATAGCTCATTTGTTCATTGCTTACTACAGATTAGGTACCATTCTAAGTATTTTACATGACTGCCATATTTGGGAGACAAAATTTGGGAAATTCTAATAGGCAAAGGCTAAAGACCAGGCCCTACACCAGGCCAGAAGTGTATGAAGGAATTTGTGGGAAATTCATCTTCTTTCTCTAAGAATGACTTGACGTTGAGAGCTAGTCCAACTAGGATCTGTTCATTACTTGGCTCCTAAGGATTTGGGTCAGATCTCATTCATATATCGCAACAAATCAATGCAGAGGGTTTTTTGTTTTGGGGGGGGGGTTATGCTCAGTTGTGAAATCTACATTAAATCTCTCTCTCCCCCCTAATCAATCATGCCTTACTTCTCTAAGGACACAGTATTCCTGTCTGTCCATCCATCCATTCATTCCTCCATCCATATGTTTGTCATGTGGATCATATACCAGCCACACCACAGCCCTTTCTAGGAAGGACCCTTTGGCCCTTATCTCCTACATAGCACCCCTTGGTAGCCCGTTTTGCACTATGCATCGCTAGGGCTGGGCAACTGCCCAAGAACTGCTAACCTTA